AAACCCCTAAAAAAAATTTTTTAATTTATATTTACTCTTTTATTCATACCCTTTGGTTTTTTTGTTTTTTGTTTTTTTTTTTTGTTTTTTTTTCCCCCCCCCCCCCCCCCCCCCCCCCCACGGGGCCCCATTACCCAATTCAACCTACCGCGCCAGGACAACAAAGTCTTTGTCGTCACAGGCGGCTCTTCCGGCTTAGGATATGAGCTTTCGCACATTATTTACGGCGCAGGTGGTAGAGTATACATAGGTTAGGTACTTACGCGCTCGAAAGAGAACGCCGATGCTGCGATAGCTCGTATCAAGGCGCACTACCAGGGGCAGGAAGACAGCGGACGATTCGGCAGTCTTGAGTTCATACACATGGACCTAGAAGACTTCAGCACGATCAAGTCAGCGACTTAGGAGTTTCTACAGCGTCAAGGTCCCCAGGGGCGTCTTGATGTGCTGTTCAACAATGCGGGCACCGGAGGCCGCAAAAACGCACCCGCGGGACGCCAAGGCCATGAGTATCATATAACCACTAATGCTATGGGCGCTTTCTTACTCACCAAGCTACCTCTCACGCCCATCTTGTCAAAGACAGCCTCAAGCAGCCCCTTAACTCGTGGCAATGTTCGAGTCGTCTGGCCCGCATCTATTCTCGTGGACACGACCAGCCCTAAATCCGGGATACGTATGGACTACCTCGAAAACCCCGCAATGACCAAGAACATAGATTATATCGAACTCTACACCATGTCCAGAACGGCGACCTGGTTTCTGGCCTCCGAGTTCGCCCGCCGCGAGGGCACCAACAGCGGTGTCCTCCACATTGCGGGAAACCCAGGGACGTATATTACAAGCATGTGGCAGTACACGCCAACCCTACTGTACTGGCTCGTCCGGCCGCTTCTCCGCAGCCCGGTGCCTCACGGGGCGGACACGTACCTGTAGATGGGCTTCTCGGAAGCTGTAACTCTTGATGACGCCGCCGCGGGACGATACGCGATGTGCGACGGGCGGTGGCATCCGGCGCAGAGGGAAGACTTGAAGCTAGCTTCAGCTTCTTACTTAAATCCAATAATTATTTAGTCTAGTTGGTGCTAAATCAAATCAAACTATCTCAGGTTGTAAGGAAGTAAACCAGCCCACCGACTTACTACATAGCCTATATGACGAAATCATACTAGAAGTAATTGTTAATGGAACGAATAACTAGATTAAAATGTTTAGCTTAAACCAAGTGTTTTGATACGTTGTGATTTAGTATATTATTTTAGGTGGAATGTTACGGAAAATACGTGAGGATATAATACCTAATGTAACGATTGATCGGATATGGTGCACTTCACATTATGTTAAGAGGCAATGAGGTGTGCAGTAGTCCAGACGGACCCAGTCACCTGCATCAACGTTATGATATTGTCCAATCCTATGGTAGCATCAATATATGGGGTGTTAAGCTTCGAGAGATGATACGAGATACCTAGCTTAAGTTAGGTACTTTGGTATAGGAGAAGGCTACCTACCTAGGTATGTATCCAGAGATCGTCAAGGGACTCGGACCGATGCTAACTTCCCTCCCTGGTTCGGAAACAGACAATCTCGAGACGATAAAACAAATGATAAAAAGCGGATGAAAAGGATGATGAAGACAATGCATTAAACAAAGAAACAGCAAATAAAAATCAGTATCAATATAAATCAGTCTCTGATTTTAGGGCTATCGTCAATTACATAACACCTATTACCGAAGAGACGGACGTCTGGTCTGAAATCGCCAGGTACCTCCGGACCACAACTCCGGGTCGTTCCCCATCCCAGATACAAATCGATCCATTGGAAGAAGTAACCGCATTCGACATAGAAACATTGGAAGAAACCGAAGCAGCGGGGGGCATGTCCGATCCTCATATATGCTTGGACCTTGCAGCAAAGGAATCTACCAGCATCCAATTAGGACCACGGTACGGGAACGAAGAAGAAGAGAGGAATCAGCAGATCCTAGACGACCTTCTAGGAGAGAGGGAGGCCCCATTTGAACCAATAGAGTGGCAGTGGTAGAGCTTGCACCCTGGGATATGACATGGACGGAAGTATGATGTGGTGGTTTACCTGTACTATAAACCTTTTTAGTCTCCTCCCTATATTTTATCGTATTTTCCTTTTCTCTTCACCTAGATTATCATCTTAGCTAGGTAGGTAGTTATATTCTTCCATCTATGTTCTATTATTAGTTTTTATTACAATTCCTGGGGCCATAATACTACCAACGTAGCCCTTCCAGTTTACATACTCGAAGATATTTCAACTTGCACCCTTATTTACCCAGCTAAAGCTAAACTATACTATTAACTACCTAATAGTTGTCTTTCGAGAGTTTTAGGTTGCTTTTACCGTCAGTTTCTTACGAGTTATCATTAAGGTATCTATTTCGCCTCTGCTAAAACTATCCGTGCGTAACTCGCCTTTTCGTATAACACCTGCGGAAGGTCGCTCCTATCATTAGGCCAGGGAAGTTCGTAACTTACCTATAAATAGGCATTTTCACTCGTAGCAACACTATAAGTCAAAATATCTATTTTATCCCCCCCAATAATCTGTCCTTATCTACAATAACCCTAAACGCTCTACGACGATATCGCTTATGTTGAACCGATAGGCCATTCTTAACCTCGCCAAAAGTCCAAGGACTCGTATCCAATAATATATACCGACACTATGGAGAGCTGGGTAGGCCTTAACAGAGGCGCCCGTATCCCAGACAGGAAGAATTGCGTAGTCCACATCACCAATCTGCCCGTAACTATAGATTACGGGACACTTTTCAGTGCCCTCCGCGGCACAGGAAAGATAAGCCGAGCCACGATAGCCGGGAGCGAAGCATTCGTCCAGTTCTGGTCGCGTGATGGCGTCACGCGCTTACTAGAAAAGCAGAGGCATGGTTTATTTGTCATCGGAACCCAAATTCCCAGTGTGAATATCGCCAGCGTTGCCAGGGAGACAGCGCGAACGGCAACCTTACATTCGCGGGTTCTTGTCATCAACGGCCCCAAGGAGATTGTAAACTACGAATACCTCCGGAGATTCTTTTCGGAGCGATTCGAATACAACATAGAGTCGGTCGAGATCACAGATGTCCAAGAAGACCACCAGACGATGCGGTGGTCTTTCGCCTCCTTTAATGCCCAGAGCCGCAAGGCATGGACGTTAATCGGGGAGGAGAAGAAAAAGGCATACGAAACAGGCGATACCGACAGTCCCTGGAAAAACGTGTGGTTTAGTTACGAAAGCGATCCTTGTCAACCTTACCAGACAATCGTACCATTCCCGCGTAGAACACCACCGCCACCACTACCATATACTGGACAACTCTACCACGAAGACCATCCACCTTTTCCTTCCTCTGCTTCCTGGGGCCTTGGTTCAGACACGTGCAACGAGGACGAAGAGGAAAATAAAAGCGAATCAATCGATGGAAGAAGTCTCGACCAAAATGTGTCGTCCACCAGTTCTAATAGCGATTCGCGTTAACACTAGAAGACAACCACGCGTACAACATCACTGCCTCCACAAAAACCACCCCGTATTCGGGAATTATTCCAGGACCGCCGACATTCATGTTGACCAACCCCCTCAACACCTCTTTACCTACGTTTTTTTCAGTGGTATTACTCTGCGTGGGAGTATTGAAAACATCGAGCGAGTGGCTATAAGCGTGGTAGAGTTTATCGATAATCAGGAACTTAGAACGCACGCATCCACGCACTAACCGTAGCGTTTTTCCAATAATATTAATTTCTCTATAATTCTTAAACTCCACATGTCGCTTTTCAAAGGGGTGATCTAGGTAGTTAGCAAGACCGTGTGTCAATATTACAAGTTTTATACTCATAATTTAGTCTTAAAGAGCCAGTCCCAATCATCAGGGTTTACTACATACAAGGAATTTACCATGGAAAAGGCTGAATATTAAAGGAGCAATAATAGGAAAAAGACGCCCGGCTCTAGTTAAATCGTATATTATACCGTATCCATAGCAGATTAATGCCAAGATCGATCGATCAAGACCCCCTTTTACCACACAACTCAGATTTCCAACCGAGAAAATAACTGCAGACAAGTTACAGCAGAAACACAGAACCTGCCTACGGATAATTCTCTAAATCTCAAAAACTATCAATAAAAACCTATGACAAGAAAAATTCGAGGGTAGCAGAATATAGAGACCATATACTCCAGCATCTATGCGATAGTAATATTTACACTGTTGAAATGCATTGGGATAAGCCATCTACGTAGGTACATATGTTGCCCAATGACTATATGTACCTGTATAGTATGTCTTCATACTACTTCCAATTATCACCTATATAACCATGCCCTATTCCACTTGAGATGAACTGATCATATGTTTATCTGTCAGGATTCTAGATGAGACATCTAGAACAAAGGAACTGTTCAGTATGTATAGACGATAGATCTTCATAGGTAGTTTAGAGTTCCTTGCGGAACAACGAAGTTGTTTCCATACTGTTTCGTTCCACCTCGTGACATTATCTACCTTTGTGAGTACTTACCTGGGTAGTAGTACCACGAACCGAATTCTTCCCTAGGTTTACAACAATCATCTACTCGCAGCCTTCATATCATGAAAGCGACCCTTCAATACGATATTATGGTAACCTATCACGTCCAAGTAAAATTAGGAAAATAGTTGAACAAGCAATGCAAACGTATCAAATAACCTTCGTTATCTGGTATATCTAAAGTCTGCGTGCTAAAACCGCCCCCCTCCGTCCGCAAAATGAAATTCTATTCCTCGTGAAGCACCGCGGAGTTAACAGTAGAACACCCCCGAACGATGCCCATGTCCAGTATCCGTCAAACCGCCCTACCATGCAGTCATTAAAAATCTTTTCTTTTGGTCCTCATCATGCACACATCATTTGATCGCCAAGGGACCGGTTCCATCTATTGTACCTTCACTGAGAGGAAAGTACCCTTCGTCGACTCTACGACTAAGCTTCTTCAGTCTCGGCCTTGGGAGCGTCTGCGTCGGTCATTTCCTCATCCTTGGTAGCCTCTCCCTTCTCTGCCTCAGCTGCTTTTCGAGCCTCCTCCTCGGCGGCCTTCTTAGCAGCAGCTTCGGCATCAAGCTTAGCCTGCAGGGCTTGACGGTCTGCTTCTACCTTGTCGAAATAGCGTTGCGTAATAGGACCAGCCATGGCTCGGATCTCGTCCATCTTAGCGATGTAAACTGCCTTAGTAGCATCCTCGCCCTCTTCGTATAACCAGTCCTAAATAGAATTAGCATCTGACATTAAAATCGAGGTTGGATTAGAAATAATATGCTTACCTCAGTCTCTGTGAGCTTCGACCTCAGCTTTTCCTTCTCCTCTTCGCTGGCAAAGTCGGCGTACTGGTCATCCAGCTTGTTACGCAGGTCGTAGATGTACGTCTCCAGCTCGTTCTTCTTCTCTTCCGTGTCAGCAACAAGCTTGTCTTCCATAAGCATTGCTGCCTCCTTCTCCATTAATGCGTTCTTGGTGCTCTCGTCCAATGAGGTGGTGCCAGCAACAATAGGCAGATCGCCCTTGCGAACTTGCTTCTTGACCTTTCGAGTCTTGGGCTTGTCATCTCCCTTCTTGGTATCGGTATCCATCGCCTATGATAAGTCAGCTATTACTGCTTCATGAGAAATTTGATTTTACGCGCGAACACCCAAAGCTGGGCCCGCTGCGTAACCATGCGATATTACTTACGTCTGGATCTTTCTTATCTCCCTCATCCTTGACTTCCTCTTCAACCTCCACATCCTCAACATAGTATCCATTTTCCACGTTAAGAACACCATGGATGTTGACTCTAGCCTTGAGCTTGCAGATCATAAACTCGGTGTTGGGATCAGCCTTGACACCCTTGACAGAGAACCGGCCGATGAAAGGAGACATCTTTCCAGGCAGCAGTTCGGGGTCGGCATATCTGGCCTCCAGGTCGAATGGCTGCTTGCGGTAGAAGGTTAGGATTTTCGTCGAAGGAAGAACGTTACCCTTGTTAAAGACGGTAAGGCTCGTATCCTCATCCGGAATATCAACATCCTTCTCCCAAGAGAATTCGATAGGATAGTTGACGATATCCAGGACGGAGAAATCACGGACCTTGAAGACCGGCGAGAGGATAGCGCAGCTGAAAGCGCAACCCCGAGCGACGGCTTCGTCCTGGTTAAGAGTGAACGAAAGCTGTTTTCCGAAGAATGACTGGATCCGCTCTTTGAGAGCAGGGACACGTGTGCAACCGCCAACTAGCTCGATTACGTCGATATCTTCCTTGTTGAGCTTGGCTTCTGCAAGGGCCTGCTCTAACGGTATCGTAGCTCTGCTCAATAGCGGCTCCACCAATGCCTCGAACTCTTGTCGGGTAATCATAGCCGTTACATCGATATCGTTCATTAGCGACTCAATGTTCATAGGCGCTTGTTGGTTAGCAGAGAGGATCTTCTTCAACTTCTCGGCGGCAGCTTCGACGCGGACCATAGCCTTAGGGTTAGTCGTGATATCAATTCTGTATTTACCCTTGAACTCCTTGTGGAAGTGGTTGACTAAGGCTAAGTTAAAGTCTCGTCCACCAAAATGGCGGTCGTATGCTGTAGACTTGACACTCAGCTCGCCCTTCTTGAACTCGACAATCGAGCAAGAATAGTCGGCATGGCCAACGTCGACAAACGCCACGCGGCGAGGCTTCTCGTCGCCTGAAGGCAGGTCCAGCTTTGTGATGCCGTAACCAAGAGCGGCAGCAGTAGTGTCATTCATCACACGGAGGATTTTGAGACCAGCAATGTCAGCCGCGTCCAGAAGACCCCTTCGCTGGGCGTCTGTGAACCACGCAGGTACACTTATGACGAGGTCAGTAACAGGCAATTTCAGTTCGTTCTGTGCTGTCTGCCTGATCTTGTTTAGGAACATAGCCGTCAGCTGAGTAGCCGAGAACCTCTCCTTCTTGCCTAGGTACGTCACTTCGGCACCAACTTGGCCGTTGACATCAACGAGAGGGGCCGAGACGTATTTCTGCTCAATCTGGACATCGGGATCATTGACGCTTCGACCGGTCAAGCGCTTGAGAGAGCCAACGGTATTCTTGAGGTTGGAGATCTCTTGCGTCTTTGCAGCTTCACCGATGTATCGAGACTTGGGGCCAAATCCAACTAGGGAACTAGAAGGCGAATATGTTAGCGAGTAATGTATGTATATGGAGCGGGGTGCGAGATGGCTATGTTCAACTTACGGCGTAGCTCGATTTGAGACTTCGTTGGTAATCTAGATATATGGTTAGTTAGGTTAGTTATATTCATTAATACTATATGGCGCATCTAGAGAGATATGTAATAGAAAGATAGAGTGGGCTGGTGGTTTAGGTACTTACGACATCGACACCTCGATTTCTGGCGACTGCGATAACCGTGTTAAGAGTCCCGAAATCAACGCCTGTAGTAATTAACGGTCAGTGATTTCTTCGCCTCGTCGCCATGGGGATATGCAGCACTGGGCTTGCAACCTACCGACTACGCTCATCTTTGCTGGGATGTGTGGAACAAGACTGAAGGTAAACAAATAAAAATGATATTTGACTGCGGGGGAGGTCAGGAAACGTCGCGAGCCCGTTTACCTTGTACCGGATTAGAATTGCGAGTAAATCTTTGACAATCGAGTACGAAATGATTTATCGAATTCGGTAAGAGGAGAAAAATCCAGTGGGTGTTTAGGTAGTTTTGAAATATCTTGTTTGTCCCGAAGGAAAAAAGATTCTAGGTAGGAGAAAAAAAAAGCTGCCCGAAACTGCGAAGTGGGAGGTCGCGAAGGACTGAACTTTAGCGTTTCTAATACGTACAACCCCTCACTTATCTTACCCCCGGGGGTCTATCAATTTTGTTTATCGCGAAAGTTCTGGACATTTCGACTTCCATCTATGCTAACCTGTAAGGCTCTCTTGGCTTTTTTCCTTCAACGCCACATCGCACCAGCCTTTCTTTACTAAATACCTACACCCAGATGAAATATCTATTGAATATGAATATTGGTGACTAAGAAATTAGAAGTATTTGTTATTTGTTTATGGTGAGTTACTTTTTTGCATTCACTTACCAAATATAAAATCTGCTATTGAATTAATATACACGTAATCAGATTGTTGATTACGTGCGTATTTTACATTGCGACTTCCACGTTCTGTTCATTCCAGTTGAGTGTCAACCACATTCTTTCATGGCGCCTTAAAGAATCCCAAGAATGAGGTACATAAATACTTAATATACAGCTGAATTCAGTTAGCACATATATATACACACCCCCGGGATATACTATCTACTTCACCCCGCCTTGAGTCCACCAACTCCCCCACCATACCTTGATACTATGTAATGCCAACCACGATGGTGGGGTTTCCACACGTACTGACCGCTTTGCCGCCTTGCCGACAAGATCCTTAACTCTTAGGTACACTTGCTTAGGTTCAGGATTATCATGATTCGGATGCTACGTGTACAGAAAACATTACAGCTCATTCCATACAAAGACGCCGGGTATTGATGATCGTTGATCATTATCAGCAAGGCCTTAACGAGATGACTCAGGACTTTATGCGCAAATGTTTTCAAAGATTTTCTCGGTATCCTCTTCACATTTTCCATCGTCATCTCAAGCATGTGAGTTGATCAGGGAGTAACCTAGATAGATGCATGTACGTAAATATTCAGATATTTGGCCAATACAATTTTATATACATTGATACATGACTATAATCAAGGCCGACGTCACAAAAAATTTTAATTTCTGACAAATTAGAACAAGCACAGCTACCATTTAGTGATTAGGTCATAATATCTACATATACCCCTAATCGCCTAAACACTCATATGTTGCAGATGAACTCATAATATTCAAGCCTCTTAGAGAAGACAGATATACAATCTGGATATCAGTGATTGTTTACGTGTAGGTCTGATTGCTATGCTCTATCTCTTATTCAATCAACAGCTTTCTAATCTGCCCATGACGGCTCGATACCCCGGCAGACACTTTCGTAGTCCTTAAATCTCTGCTCGTCCAAAGCCAAGCCCGGAGTCGTCCAAAACATGGTCCAATTCATGCCGCCTAGCTTCAGAGAGCCCCTCGACCGTTCAAAATACCATTTGTTGACAGGGTTGTCTTTCCGACTCCTCCAACAGACCCCGTTTGGAAAGCAGTCTCGAACCATAGCGTTAAAAATGATATCGCTAACCCCCCCTGCCCCCTGGCTCTTGCGGAGGACCGCAAACTTGTCCAGGTAGGGTACGAGCCGGCTTGGAACATCTGCTCCGGAACCTTCTACCCCTGGAGGCTTCTCCCAAGTCAATAGAGCGCCACCTTCATATTCCCCCGCAATGATTATACCGGCTAGATTTCCATTTATCCTCCTTAAATAACCCTCTACATCGAGCTTCCTGCCGAAGGAATCCTCAATCAAGTTCACGAGCCTAGGCAGATCTATACACGGATCTGTTAGGTTTAGGTTTCCCTGCCCCGGCTGGGGTGGTTTCCATGGAGTAACCCGAGGGTCCGGGAATATGGTTAAGGGCACGCCACGTTTAGCCAGGGTTGTTAACGAACCGATCTGAGCCATGCCAGTCGAAGATGTAACAGGTCTAAAGCGTTCAGATGGCAATGACGAAGATTGGATCGGCTTGTCGGTCAGGAGACTATGTATTAACGGATTCTGTCCCCGTCTCGTTCCAACAAGCGCCCAGTCAATAGCATTATCCTCCAGGGAATGTTCGTTTGCTACTTCCTGGGGAGTCGTGATAACTGCGGAAGAAGTTGGTGGCAGCAAGGACAAGACATTCTTCGCTAACTCTGCATTTTCCAAGTGCTGCGAACGATTCGAGCTTGAGAGATTTGAGTTTGGAGATGTCGATGCTGTTAGATCATTTCGGACCTCCTGGAACTCATGCTCTAGGTTCAAAAATAGGTGTCTTCCAGTAGCACGGTTTTTAGCGGGGATTCCTCCGAGAGGATCTAGGACGATGAGTCGATACACCTCGGCAGACCTTGATGTCTGTATTACCTTCGAGTCTTCGACCGGCTGACCTAGGAATTGGAGACCTGATAATTGCCTCGTCAAAGCCAAGATGGCATCGTTGGCACTAACAGGCTTAACAGCGCAATCATCGGCAGTATATCCGAAAGAGGAGATGATAGGAATCACCTCCTCTTGCAATGCAGCCATCAGGTCGTGAGCATTTCCGACAAAGAGACCACGCGAAGTAAATGGTGAAGAATCTTCTTCCGGTATGGCTTCGATGGTAATTGGCGAATCAATAACCCGTGCCCCAGGTGCATCGTAGTTATCTATCGCCGTAGCGATTCGATTAGCTTGCACAGTGGCTGTTTGTCTTCTGTGGGCCTCGTTTTCTCCAGCGATGCCAGTTTCAACCACAACGATGCTAATTAATCCAAGCTTTCGGAGCTGGCCAAGCGTCTTTCCTACGCCGTCTAGAGTAGCATCACTGACCTCCTGAGGAGCGCGGAACTTAACAAGAGCAACATATAGAGGTACCTGAATCGCAAGATCCAGTTCAGGCTTTGGTCCATGAGCAGCATTCGTTTGTGCAGCAATGGCCTCAATACTGGGTGCTTTTCTGATGGTGTCTAGGTCATTTGCTGGACGCCTCTGAGCTGCACGTTGCTTGAACCCCGTTGCCCCTTTCTTTTCTAGTAGAGGCACAAATCTATTCATATATGCCTTAGCATCTCTTTTAGTTACTGAAGTCTCGAGGACCGATACGAAGAAGTCCTAAGGTAGTGTCAAAATAGTTTCAGGGTAAATAAGTGGAAAGATTCAATACCCTGTCGAGACTTTTCTTATGTTTTTCCGATTTTGAAATTGAAGTATATGGAGAAGCAAATGTTATCGAGTGCCCACCGAAATTTGGGGGCGTGCTCGGCGCAGAGCGCAACGACAACGGATTTGAGCCATTGATTCTAAGGTCCGTGGTTGACGGCGTCTATTCACAGTTAGTTGGGACTTGTTCAATCATAAATTTATGTCATCTTTTAGACATATTTGGAAAGAGATTGCGATCCATTTGATTCTCTTGAAAGTAGACCGTAGAATAGGTACCAATACAAAAAGACGATGTCACTCACATTCAAGTTTGAAATTGCCCTCTTCCAGGCCATGAGTCGCATTGTCATAGCGCACAGAGCATCTTGGACCGTCGAATGTTTGACGAAGGAACACGCTACCACCACATATCAAAATTCTCCAATTTCTTCAAGTTCAGGCCAAGGAAACTGGATTTGCCTTGGAGATTGGTTTTCGAAGGCAGAGAGAAGGAACTTGAACTTATTAATATGGACAATTTAAATTCCAGTGACTCAAGTTATTCAGACACGGGTACGATAACAACCGATAAGGCATGCACTAACAATCCCGCGGCGGGTACTTTAGGTACCCGAAGAAGCAGGGAAGGTATGATATATATTTACGCTAAGGGAAAGCGTTAGAACCTGCAGGTTCCGGCTACTTGACCGCTATCGGCTGGTTAAGGTATTCTCCTCCGATCGTCCCGTATATTTCTACTCCAAACCTTTCAATTTGCAGTCGTAGTCTGAACCCCACTAGTAGTGACATCAAAAGTAAAGGTTAAATTTTTTTTTTCCCTTGGAGGTGACACCCACCGGATTTCCTTTCTTGTCTTATACTCGTTACCTAGGAATTCTTTTTGCCGAATGAGAGGCCTCCCCGCGGTTGGGATAGTGTCATTTTTATGCAATTATCACGGCTAAAGAAATGGCTCAGTTCTCGCCTCTTGCAACACCGCATCATTACCCCGGATTTACTATGTAATGATGACTGGTACCTATCGCCAATAAGCTGGGCAAGATCTCATCCAGCATTCTCTCCCTTTTTCTTAATTGTCGCGACACAAATAGAGGTCATGTTCATAAGTACCTAATGTCAGATAATATGATATTTTCTCCGAATATTCAGGTCATCAGTCCAGTGACGAAGGGAAAGGCAATGCTACTCTCTTATTTCAGAAATTCCTCGTTATAGGCCGATTCACCCTTAAATCTAGATAGACGCACTCGATCAACTATGTTTAATCTTTATCGCGGATGAGTTAACCCCTGATTGGCTGTTTCACCTCTACAGAACTCAACTTCTTGAAAGTGAAGTATTATAGCACCAGTATAACTAATACCTTCTTATTGTTTAACGCCAGTAATTATTATCAGAAATATGTGTTCTCGAGCATCATGGGCCATTGGCTTGCCGGGTAAACAAGTTAAGAATTCATAGACAGACGCCGTATTATAAAGGTCTAACTTAGGTACCTAGGTAGGTAGCAAGCCGAAATAGTGGCAGTCGAGGATTTCAATACTTGTTTTTATTCAAGCTCCCGCCGTCGGCATCCCAAGCAGTCGTATTCAAGAAGCAAGTAGGAATATCGATTACTGGCTATCATTAGTCTTGTCTTAAGGAGACTTAAAATGGGACTGTAACTCGGTTGTCCTCCATGCGAGAGTAATAAGGGAAGGCGGGTAGATAGGTAGCTAAGTTACAGGAGTGAATACACATTAACTAAACACTACCCGTAGAGAAAAACTACCTAGGTATCTGGTGAACAATCTATATAAAAAGGCGAGGATAATTTAACAATATAATTAAATATTTCATAGATAGGTAAGCTTTCCAAATTCCGACTCGCCACACCCAAGTAAAATATACGAAATATAGATCGAACCAACACTTATATCCCGAGCTTTGAGGTATCTGGATGATTG